ACACACACACACACACACACACGCACGCACGCAACCAACATACTTGGCTTCGTGCTGGCAGAAACTGCGTGGATGGCATGCCAAAGACACGGAAAACACACAGACGTTGCAGGCGCTCGTGCAGAAGGAGATTGATGCTGGAACCACAAAAGCCAGCGGCTCCGCAACCGACGCCCTGCTCTGGCTCAAGCGGTGTGTGGTGCTTGACACGTGCGCTGGCCAGTCCATTGAAACGTGCTTGTGTTGCGTGTTTCCTGCTTACACACACGCACGCACGCACACACAGTCACACACAGACAGACACACACACACACATGCACACAGACACACAGACACATGCACGCACGCGCACACACACCATGCATTCATGCAAGTTTGTTCCCTCCCTTACCTTGATTGCTGCTGTTCTTGTCGTCCTGTTGTTGTCCTCATCCATGCACAGTGCGTTGAACTTCATCAATGCGTTTCTGGATGAGGTGTTGAAGGGCGAGTCTCCCTCCAAGGCCGCGTCCACAGCATACACCGCCACCCTCAGTCGCTACCACAACTTCTTCGTTCGCCAGATCTTCAATGTGTGTGTGTATGCATGCACGCACGCATGTATATCTGTGTGTGTGTGTATGTGTGTATGTGTGTATGTGTGTATGTGTGTGTATGTGTGTGTATGCATGCTTGCATGTGGATTCGACTTGCACATCCACCTTCACCCCTACCCCCACCCACTCACCACCACCTCGCAAATTTCTTGTCCCATCATTGACACACCGCCTCCCCTTTTGTCATAACCACACCCTACCTCACGCCCCGCAGGTGGCGATGAAGGTGTGCCCGTCGCGTGAGAACTTCCTCAAGCTGCTGCGTCGCGAAGCAGATGCGAGCGACGACGATCTCCTTGAACAAATGCGCGTGTACAACACTGCCCTCAGCGCAAACCTGCACGCGTTGCAGGCGTTTTACGACAAGCACGGCCTGGATGCGTGACATGTCACAACATCACAACCACGTGCACACGCGAGGATCTGCGCATCAGTGATATGCGTTCGCGCGTGTCACACCCCGCTGGCGAGCGTGCTCTGTGATGTGCTGCTGTCGTCGTCGTTGTTGTTCGCTCCCACCCAAGTTATCTCTCATTGTTGCTCAAGTACGCATGCATTCGATGGCATTCGGTTAGTGTTTACTCGTGTTTGTATGATAGCGCCAATACGTGACACCAATGACACAAATAACGTGTGCCATTGACTGTGTTGACAATAAAATCCGCAAACCACCAGCACGAAGAAAGCCAGGCCAACGACAGCAGAGAGAACACACACACACACACACACACACACACACACACAAACGAACACACACACACACAAACAAACAAACAAACAAACAAACAAACAAACAAACAAAGAAAGAAAGAAAGAAAGAAAGAAAGAAAGAAAGAAAGAAATTACAACAAGTTGTCTGTGATGCTGCTTGGCTCCTGCGTGCTGGTCCTGTCCTCGCCAACACCAACACTGTCGTCATCACGGCTGCGCGTGACGGGGGTGTGTGCCGCTGCCCCCTTTGGCGTCGCAACGGGTGTGACCGCGGGCGTGCGACGTGTGTACGATGACAGCGGCGTGGCGCGCTTGCTCCCCGTCTGCCCCCTGTGTGCACTGCGCAGCGCTGCGTTGAGGGACGGTGTTGCTCGTCGCGATGACGACAGTGTTGATGATGATGATGATGATGATGATGATGTGCGTGCGGGTGTTGTGCCCGTCCGCCCCCACAGCGTCTGCGCCAGTCGCTGCGCCGCCGGCGTCATTGTCCGCAGCCGCTCGCTGGCCTTGGCCGTCGTGGGCGTCACCCCACGTGCAGCCGATGCGTGGCGTGACGATGTGTGCTGCTGCTGGTGCTGTTGTTTGCTCTTCCGCTTGCTGCGCGTGGCCTTATCAGCGAGGTCCCGTGCCACCTGCTCCCGCGGCTTGAGCGGGGGGATGTTGAAAACGGGCCCAGGTGTGGCCGGCACGCTGCTCCCCGCGTCCAGGCGGAACGGCGTGCCCTCAATCTCGCCCCACGTCATGAGCGGGTCCATATCGCGGCCGGGCATCGGCGATGGTGTTGCCACCAGCTTGTATCCGTTGACCTGCGGCGTGGCGCCAGCGTCGCCATCGACACCAGGTTGCCCCAGCTGCCTTGCTGCAAGATCAACCACGTGCTTACCACCGCCAACACCACCAGCACCGCCGCCAAGCGTGCTGCGTGTTCTCGTGCCTGCTGTACCCACCGTCCCCGTGCGCCCGGCATATGGGTCGCGCGTGAAGCGGGTGTTGTGGTGGTTGATGCGCGTGCGCTGCTCATCGCTCATGCGGATCAGGTCTGCTGCCGTCAGCGCCTGCGACTGCGGGCCGTACATGAGCGCATTCCGCGGCACATATCGCCACGTGTCAATCTCGTAGCCAAGCCCGAGCGGCTTGTCGTTCTGCGCCTGCTCAAGCGCGAGTTTCGACTTGGCGCTCACCTCGCCATAGTACTTGCGGTACTGCTCAGCCATGCGCTCGTTGGTGTCCTCGATAATCTTCTCAAAGGACGCGTTGTCTTCGCTCGTGTACTTGTTCAGGAACTGGTTCAGTGACAGCGACGTGTCCACGCCCTTCCTGCCGCCTTCGCCCTGTGCTGCGTCCCTGTGCTGCTGCCGCCGCTCTGCATCTTTTACGCCTCCACGCGTCCTCGTCGCTGGCCCTGGCGTGTCTTCGAGGTTGGCCGCGCCGCTGCTGCTGGTGTGGGCAGTGTCCGAAGCAGCATCAGCAGCGTCAGGGTCTGTGCGTTGCGGCGTTGTCAAGGGCGTGTTAAAGGGCTCCGCCTGCTGTGCCCGCCGCTTTGCCGCCCTGGTCTTGGAAGCTGCTGCTGCTGCTGATGAAGATGAGGTGCCGGGTGCGCGTGCACCTGTGCCGACGGCGTTGGTGCCGCTGCGGCGCTGCGCCGGTGTCTGGAAGCGGAGCTTAATCTCGCGCATGCGGTCAAGGTCGTTTGATTCGAGGGCGTCGAGATAGTCTGCTTGCGCCTGCAGCATCGGCAAATCCGGGAAGAAGTCGCGCTGGATGATCTTCTCCAGTGCCGACACGTACTCGTCCTCCTCGAGCACCAGCTTCTTCTTCTTCCTCCTCTGCGTTTGCTGGCCCGGCACGGCAAGTGTCAGCTTACTGGCATCGCGCGTCTGCAGCTGCATGTTTGTCTTGTTGCCGTCCTCCTTGGTGGCCTTGTCTGATGTTGTCGTCTTTTGTTGCTGTTGTCGTTGCTGTGATTGGCTTGCATTATCGCTGCCATCCTTGTTGCTGTGGTCTTGTGGAGCGGGCTGTTGCTTTGGCCGCTTGGATGCAGGGATGGCCTCCACCAGATTCGGCGGCAGTGACGAGATGAGCTCCTTGCTCCTCGCTGTCATGCTCCGCGACATGATGCTCGGCGTTGTCTGTGTCTGTGAGTGTGTGTGGGTGTCTGTGAGTGTCTGTGTGTGTCTGTGTGTGTCTGTGCGAGTGCGTCTTTCGTCGTTCGTTCGCGCTGTTGCTGCCGTTGCTGGTTGTTGTGATCGCTGTTCAATTTATGCTGTTGTAACAGACTTGCACGGCTCTTGCGCGTTTGTGTGTGGATGCAAACACGTGTGGAGCTTGTGGCTTGTGGCTTGTGGCTTGTGGCTTGTGGCTTACGACGACGACGACGACGACGATGGCTGATTCGCAAAGGACGCGGGAGAGTGGGGTTGGCGTGGCTGGCGTGCGGGCTGTGGTGGTGGCTGTGTGCCTTGCCATCTACACTGCGTGGCTGCTGACCTTTGTGCACCCAGCGGCCAACGCCGCTTCCATCATCGACGCTTGGGAGGTCAGAAAGGGATGTTGCGTGTTGTCCGTGTGTGTTGGAGTTGGTGTCTGAGTGTGCGTGTGTGTGCGTTTGTGTTGTTGGAGTCTCTGTGTGTGTTGTGTGGATTGCAATGTATATGATGGTGGTTTGTGCGAGTGTTGCGAGTTGGCTTGTGTTTGGGTACGCTTTGTGTTGTGCTACTTGTGTTGCGTGCGTGTTCTGTTGGAGTGCACGTGCGCATTCCCAAGTGCACAAAGATACCCTCACCCACTCACCATCACACTCACTCACACGTACACTCAAACACACATGCGCATTGTAGGAGCTGCGGTTGCCGGCGTGGGTGTCGTTGATCCTGATCACGTTGACGCTGTACTGGCAAGACCGGTCTCAGAAGCAACAAGAGGCTGCCGCCACTGCTGCTGCAGCAGCAAAGGTGGCACGAGAGCAGGGTGATGTCGCAGAGGACGACGACGGCGACGACACGACCTGCGCGTGCGGAAAGAGTGCAGACTCCTGCTGTCAAAGCAGTGACGACAAGGCGCAAGCCAATGGCAATGACACAGCTACATGCTGCTCCGACTCCAGCGGTCAAGCAGCTGACACCACGAGTTGCTGCCAGGACAAGGGGAACAGTGATGCCACGGACTGCTGTCAGGGTCAGGACAAGGGGAGCGACTCGTGCGGTTGTTCTGGGGTCGAGTCACACACGAAGCCCAGTGCTGCAACCAAGGCTACCAACGCCAACAGCGATGTTCCCGAGCCTGCCACCCTCAACTTCAAGTACGTGGCCAAGAAGCACGCCAACCTCATTGACAAGGACGCTGGGCTGCGTATTCTCTACGGCACAGTCACGGGCACGGCCAAGGTGTGTGTGTGTGTGTGTGTGTGTGTGTGTGTGTGTGTGTGTGTGTGTGTGTGTGTGTGTGTGTTCCTGTGCTTTGTGGGACTGTGGGAGCGTGAGATTTTACGTGTAGTGTGCTGTGTGATTGTGATTATGCATAAGGCCGAGATTGTGAACACGGCGCACCTGTGTATTAACAACCCAACCACGCTGCACTGTTTGCCTGCATGCATGCGTTAGGCGTTTGCTGAGCGGCTTGGGGCGGCTGCAACAGAGCACGGGCTGGCAAACACCGTGGAGACCTTGGAATCGCTTGATGTCGAGTCCCTCACGGTGCGCACGTGCGTGCGTGTGTGTGTACTGTTTGTGCGCGTGTGCGCGTGTATATGTGCGTATGTGTGCGTATATGTGTGCGAGTGCATGATGTGGTTGTACGTTGTAGTTGTGCATGTGTTTGTGTTGCTCACCGCCCTCCACACCCGACTGCTGGTCCTGCGGCCTTGCATCATACTCCGCTATGGTGCAGAGCGAGAAGCGTGTGTGCGTGTTTATCGTGTCGACATATGAGCACGGCACCCCTCCAAAGAACGCAGAGTGGTTCTACACATCTCTCCTTGATGCAGCAAAGTGAGTGAGCTGCAACCAGCGCAGTGGTGGTGGTGGTGGTGGTGGCGCTGTTGATATGGCTGCTAGGACTGCTCTTGTGGTTAGCACGTACGCGTACGCTGTTGTTGTCACGAACACACACACACACACACACACACGCGCCGATCCAATCGCGCCACCATCATCTCACCATCATCTCACCACCATGTGCCCTGCCTCTCCCCCTCCCCTCTCTTCGACTTGCCAACCACGACCAGCGACCACCGTGTCAAGTCGGACCACCTGTCGGGCGTGCGGTTTGCGGTCTTTGGTCTCGGCAACAGCCTCTACCACGACAACTTCAACAAGGTCGCCCGCGAAATCGACATTGCTCTCTCCGGTCTCGGGTCAGTCAGTCACCTTGCGCGCGAACGTGTGTGTGCGTGTGTGTGTGTGCATTTTGCGTATGTGTGTATGTGCGTGTGCGTGTGCATTGTGCTTCCTCGGTGACTGCTACTATCCCTCCATCACCGTCGCGCTCACCATCATGGCACGCCACCACCATCGCCAGGGCCAAGCGCGTGTCGCCGCTGTGCCTTGGCGACGAGAACGTGAGCAAGAGCGCACACGGGGCGCTGGAGAAGGACTACGATGCGTGGCAGGCGGCTGTCATCGGTGACATCGACGCGGGGGACCAGCACTACACGCTTGTGGATGCAGAGAGCAGGTTTGCCGGCGCGTTTGATCACGATGACGATGACGACGATGAGGACACCGCTGGTGCCGATGAAGTGGACGGCGGTGAACTGGACCTTGATTCCGGCGATGAGGGCGTGCGTCATAACCACCACTTTGATGTCGCTGTGTGTGAATGTGTATTAGTCTGTTTGTGTTTCGTGTATAATTGTGTGTATGTGTGTCTGCTGCATCCTGCATTGTTTCATCTGTACATTTGCATTGGTAGCATGTTGCGGATGTTGCTCACTTTCTCATTTGCCACATTGTGTGTGTGTGTGTGTGTGTGTGTAGGGCATGGTGGACATGGAGGACATGGGCGACCTTATCCAGAAGGGCAAGGTTTGTTGTCTCGGATGAAGCGTGGGACCAGGGGGGAAGAGGGGTTACGGTGGGGGTTGTGTATCTGTGCGTGACTGTGGCCTGCTGTGCTGCTTTGTGAGGTCGCACAATCCATCCACCCAACAGCTTACCCGCCCGACTCATTTACCGCCGCTCACCGCAACCAACTGTCCAACCATCCATGTGTCCAATGCCACGGCCAGGCGCGCCGGGCGATGCAGGACAAGGCGGCGAAGGAAGGAAAGCCCCGCGAAATGATCACCCCAAACCTCCGCAAGGTTGCATGTGTGCATGTGTGCACATGTTTGTACGAGTACGCGTGTGTGACAGCCCTGTGTCTTGATTGTCGCAGTTCACCCTCGAAATACCACCACCACCATCACCATCATCCACCGCCACCACCACCACCATCATCCACCGTCATGGTCGTGGCAGGCGCTGACGAAGCAGGGCTACCGGCTGATCGGATCGCACAGCGGCGTGAAGCTCTGTCGCTGGACCAAGTCCATGCTCAGGGGCAGAGGTGCGTTCATCTTGGTGTGTGTGTGTGTGTGATGGTGTGTATATATGTGATGATGATAGTGGTAGTATTAGTCGGTTGCTCTCGCTGTGTTGGCCGCAGTCTCACGCTCGCAACGTCGCTCTTGTTCGTGCTGACCCCGCACATCACAATACATCACGCTCAGACATGTGCAACTCACCGCCACAACTGCCACAACTGTCACTGTCACTGTCACTGTCTCTCGCGCCTCTGTTGCTGCAGGCGGCTGCTATAAGCACACGTTCTACGGCATTGAGAGCCACCGTTGCATGGAGACCACGCCCAGTCTCGCGTGCGCCAACAAATGCGTCTTCTGCTGGAGGTTCGTGCACGTGTGTGTACTTGTGCGTGTGCGTACTTGTGTGTGTGTGTGTGTGTGTGTGTGTACTTGTGTGTGTACTTGTGTGTGTGTGTGTGTGCGTGTGTGTACTTGTGTGTGTGTGTGTGTGAGTGTGTGCGTGTGTGTGTGTACGTGTGTGCATAATGAAACGAAGAACCGCGTGCCTCCTGTCCCTTTTCTTTCTTCGCCCGCAAACATTCCCCCCCCCCACACACACACATGTGTGGTGTACGATGCTACTTGCCTGCAGGTACCACACGAACCCCGTGGGCACGGAGTGTCCGGGGGAGATGGACGAACCGCTTCTGATTGTCAACGGTGCAAAGATAACCACTTCGACATTGGCCGCCACTTCAAAAGAGACGAGGGCGATTCCCCCCCCGATCTCCAGACAAGGTTATCCAAACTGCCCACTGGCGCTCTGCCCCTAGCTAATCTTGTCTGTGTTCATTTTTAATTTTCTTGATTACCTTGAACGAGGGGTATTTCCGGCGTTTCTCGCCA